TTTCCGTTTTGCATTGATTGATCTGGATGTAGCCGGGCCTCTGCCGGGCCTTAGTTGGGGCCCTGCTGGCGAGGTAAGGCGGTCGGAGCGTCGGAGCTGCGGAGGGTGTGGTTGGTGGGCCCGCGGGGCGCGGCCGTCCGAGCGGAGACAAGCAGTCGCCCTGTCGCTGCTGCTGCTGCTGCTGCGTCGGGAGAAAAGCAGAGGGCGACTTGTGGGGCTGAGTGGAGTTTGTCAGACAAGTTTACAAAGTCGCGTCGCTGAAATTTTCCCTTCCCGAGCTTTCTGCTGGCGCTGGTGCTGCCGTTGCGTTTCTCCGTGTCCAGCAGCGCCTCGCTTGACTCCCTCCCCTGCCCTCTTGCCTTTCCCCCCACGCGGACCACGGGTTTTCGATACGTTCCGATATTGCGATATTACTCGACATCATCGAGACTCGATACTCAATGCATCGAGTCGATGTTCTATTCGTTTGTGAATGCTGTTTTGTAAACTATAAAATAGTCGCCTACCCGCTGGGCACACAGGATGAAAGTGTCGAAAACAAAGATGGCGTACATCAACCACTCTGTGTATCACCGGTGATCATTGCCTCTGGCGGTGTATCGGCTCGAGGCGCACTCTTCCTCTTTCTCTCTCAGCGTCCTCCGTCTTCTCTTCCGTATTGCCGGTCCAATCTGCGCCTTGCCTGCTCTCCTTTCCCTTTGAGTGCAGACCCTTCCCCCCTACCCTTTGATTCCATCTCCCTGCCCCCCCCCCTTCGTTCCGGTCGTTTGCGGACGCCCCTCGTCATAGCCGGACTAAAAGTGAGCATCATGTTGATCCCAGGCAGCTCTGCCCTCATGATGTCACATCGGCCGCATATCGAGAGCTGTTCCTGTTTGGCCGGTGGTCTGATGCGGTTCCAGGGGGGTTATAAGGCTCGAGAGTGAGGGTGCGCCACCCCGAGCTGGCTGGCTGGCTGGCGCGGGCAGGCAGGTGGTTCGTGGTTCGTCGCCGAGGTCTCTCGCCGCGTTGTATCATCCCGCCGGCTTATAGTATTTGAAGCCTCACATACAGAAGCCCGGGGAGGCCCGGCGCGGCGCACTGTGAGTGAAACCCCTTCTTGCCGGACCGACCACCGACCCCGCCCGCCCGACTCTGCGACTCATCCCATCCCGCCCGGGTCAGATGGGGAAAGGGGACGTGGTGGTGGACTACGTCGTTTACTGTCGGGGCAGGGAGGAAGTTGTGGATTTGTGAAACCCCAACGTCGACGCGAGTTTTCCTCCCTGCTGGAAAAGCTCTGGCCAACAAGAGAAAGTCATTGACATATGGTATTTCCAAATGGAAGTATTATTCCAGGAGTACTTTTAATTGTACGAACTCGACCAACAACGCATTTCGGTGTATCACTGTGTGCACGTGCAACGTCATGAAAAGAGTATTCTTGCCTAGTTTGTATGTGAAGGTCGGCGGCGGCCCCCACACATGCGCCCCCTTTTCATGGGAGCAGAGCAGAGCCTGCCGCGGTACCAACCGTGTGTCGTCCTGCTCTTCATTACTGTGGACTTGATGATATGGCCGGCCCTGCGAGTCCTCTCTCTC